ACCGAATGTTCCAATTATAAACATCTGATGAAGGTGCATTTTCCTGCTAACAGAAACTACTTATAGTTGCTTGATGTAGTAGATGTAAACTTTATAAATTCCAATGCTTTTATGTACATTTGTGAAGTGCAAGATATAGAATTATTAAAAAAAAACAATGAATATTTATTACCTGAGTCTTTGCAGGAGTATTTGCAAATAGTAATATTTGCAGTAATTTGGTGTATTTGTTCAAATCCAAAACACCTACCCTTGAATTGGATAAAGTGCATAATGTTTGTGGTTGTTGAAAGATATTTAAGTACCTTAAGTTCAGAATATGATTGATTTTAAAGGTGAAAGGACACGTTTGGCCAACTTTTTCATCTAATTGTTCGGATCTTTTTCCTTCCACTCATTTACAGTATAGCTTGTTGGTTCCTGTACAGCCATTCCTGTTGCCAAGATTAAGTAGCACTTAATTTGCATTTTGTCCCTCTTTAACAAAACGGTTTAGGTCTGACTTTTTAAAGTACATTTAAAACATTGTTTCCTCAAATCCTTGTTTCTTTCAAATTAAAAAGACATTTTACTGCAATGTATTAGCACATTACATACCCTCCACACGTATTCCAGTGGTCCTTCTCTGTACTCTTCTTAATTCTATAATATATTTTAGTAACATTTTGAAAAGAACTAAGCAGTAAATATAAGGTAAATATATCCCAGATGGGCTAATATTTTAGATATTTAGAGTGGCTTCCTATCATTTATTCAGTCTTATTTCTTATTTGATTCCTTTTGTTGCTGAAGAAGTTAAGTACTCCTCCCACCCCATCTTAATTGTGCATTCATTCATGTATTAATGATTTTTTTAATGTTCTGCCACAGAGTACATTGCTCTGTAGGGCAGTAAACAAAATATTTGTCCTCTGCTCTTTTTAGTTTGCGATTGTATTTAGAGGGTAGGTATCTTTTGTCTCCTTGTTTTCCAGGTCATGACACCTGTGTAGAGCTCCTACTGGAGCAAGAAATTTTCCAGAAGATGGAAGGGAATCCTTTCAGCCCTTTGCACTGTGCAGTGTAAGTTACTATAAGTATACAGCCACCAGTTTTCTGAATGTGTTGAATAAAGGAAAAAAATGACTTTTTGTCATCTGATTTGGCAGGATAAATGACAATGAAGGAGCTGCTGAAATGTTAATAGACACACTGGGTGCTGCTATTGTAAATGCCACAGACTCAAAAGCAAGGTAAAAGAGCTTCCCAAGCAAGTATAGCTGCATTATAGGAGAAGTTGATTAATATTCATCGTATATTTGCATTGTTGCTGTTAGTGACCCTTTAAAGGAATTTCCCATTATTTTTCCCTGATGTTTTTTAGACCTTACTCTTAAAATTCTTAAAAAGACTGTTACATCCTGTCTGATAAAAGAAAAGCAGCATTAATAAATTATCCAATTTTGCTGAGTGTTAGGTTAAAAAATCCTCACATATGAATACTTTCTTTTATAAGAGACCTATGATTAAATTGAAATTGTTGTGAGGACAGTGTAGAATGATTGGTTAAAGTACACTAGAATTTTAAAGTCTTGCAGCATCAACTGAACTCCACTGGTATATGACTGATTTAAGTCCTATTGCATTGGGAATAGGAAAGTGAAGGTGACCGTTCTGAGAATTCCTCTACAGTGGTGTTAAAACTGCTTTCAAGGCACAACTTGAATGGCTGAAATCTGTAATTCTTTGTAAACACCAGTCTTCTGTCCTCTATACTAGAACCCCTCTGCATGCAGCAGCCTTCACAGACCATGTGGAATGTTTGCAGTTGCTGCTCAGTCACAATGCGCAAGTCAACACAGTTGATTCCTCGGGAAAAACACCATTGATGATGGCAGCTGAAAATGGACAAACCAATGCCGTTGGTATAAATGACTTTTTAAATGCATGTGTACGGAATGTTGGTTTCTAATATGCTTGTCTGTTACCAGTAGTTTAAGATAAATAATCTGGAACTATGCACTAATATTCATCTAAGTCTTTGTACAAGTAACATTGAATTAATGGATCTCAATATTATAGATTTCACATTTAATGGACAGTCTCTGATATTCCTGCTTTTTATCCAGACCCAAAAAATGACTTTTTGCTTAATCAACAGACAGTAGCCCTTAAACCTTAATATTTCCAGTATTCCGGTATATACAACAGTATACATGATAAATTCTTGTTATGTATTATTGCATGTATGATCACTATACATTGTTACTAATATGTTTCAAGTAAAAATAATTTAATAATGCTTATTAACATACATTTTGTTAACATATCTATGTGAATAAATGAAAATTTCCACATGTGTATGATGTTAGAATACCTACACAAGATCTAACTAACCATCTTCCCACTCTTGCTAGCAGCAACATATCAAATCTTCATGTATGTACTTTATTTGAAAAGGTATTTGTGTCTGTATTTTTCTTAAGATGACATCAAGTGAAACCCTACAACTACTGAGAAACCTTTGTAGGTGTTCAGATTGACATTTTTTCTCTTACTTAACAGCTCTCTTTGAAATTTGTATTTGCACAGAAGTGTTGGTAAGCAGTGCAAAAGCAGACCTCACTTTACAGGATTCCAACAAAAATACAGCTCTTCACCTGGCTTGCAGCAAGGTGTGTGACTTCGCAACTATGTATAGAAATGAAATTGCACTAAGAGATTCATATAATATATTCTATAAGAATCCTGAGATTGAAAGAACTGATAATGAGAATTAAAGCTGGCGTAGTCTTAAAAGGGTAGCTCAGAAATTAAATACATTCTTAAAAGGATTGATTTTCATTTAGAAATTCTGTGTATATAGCTGACAAAAAGGTTTATTAATGATTCTGATTAGAGTGGACAATTTAGTATAAGCATTTATTCCAGTTATGCACAATTATAAACCACATTTTAGTCAAGCTTTAGACATAGAGTTTATAATTTGGTGTTTAATATTAATATAAATTTCTTTTAGGTTCAGGTTATTCTTTTTTTTTTTTTCAGGGCCATGAAACTAGTGCCTTGTTAATATTGGAGAAGATAACCGATCGGAACCTCATCAACTCAACAAATGCAGCTTTACAAACGTATGTGCTACAGAGACTGTTTTGTGAAAGTTTTATATACTAATGCTGTTATTGACAGGAGTAGACCTGTGAGTACTACTCAGGTTTAAATAGTGAATTACATTTACATTACATTTATTCGTTTGGCAGACACTTTAATCCAAAGCAATTTACAACATGCAAAGGGTAGTATAATAGTAGAATTTATCATTCAACTTTTTTACATGCCTTTTTTAAACCAAACTGCTAGTACATCTCAAAGACCTTTGATATTATTTCTATTGAATGTGAGTTCAATAATACAAAACACAGTATTTGTACAAACAGCCTCTCTGCAAACCTATAGGTTCTGTAACTGTCTTCTTTGATATGTTGAATCGAAAATGTTTTGTGTTTCTGAAATTAACCTGATTTTATTATTTTGACAATCAAGAGTAAATGTATTATTATTTAGGCATAAAGTGCTGTGAAAATGTTTTTGATACCTGTGTGATTTGCATATTTATACATCTTTCACTTAACCCAAGTAAAGGGATGATTAAGGTCAGCTGATTGGATACTTTGGTTAACAATCAAGATGGATTTAGAGGAACAAGTAAAGGAAGAAGGCTCCACAGCTGAAACATTGTTTATTTTCTTCTCTTTATAGCATGGAATAAACCTTTACTTGTTCCTTTGTAGCCTACACATGCTGACACAGCTATCTACTTAAACTACTGTTGTAACAGAAAGAATAAGGTTCTTGATCCCGAGATGAAGTTAAACAGATGAGTTTATTGCATGCAAGGAACAATAAAGCCGAAGTCTTGTTTCCCGCAAGAAACAACAAAACCGAAGTATTGTTCCATGTGCCGGTACAAACTTTTGGATTATATAGTAGCTTCTTTTCCGTTTCTGACGTCACTTGCTCTGATGGTAAAGAGGGGGGTTCATGGTATTTGGCCAGTTAAGAGACCCTGGCCAAATGGTCAGTTTAAGATTACACCCAGGGGGGTTCCCAGCTTGCATCTGGACTCCTTATCAGTTAACCCCCTTTCCTCCCATAAACCCCAGCTTGTGATTTAGAAGTCTAAACCTCATACAGAAAGGATTTAATTTAAACCCCCCGTCTTCACATCTTTCTTCACTACCTAAGCCTGATTTAGGTCAGTCCTGCCCAATATAAACCTAACTTTGGTCCTTACGGTCAGAGAGAAATTGTCAGCACACAAGATTTACAGACGCATTGTGCCAAGATCAAATTAAATTCCTGAAAACGTTTTTCATGTTTGTCAGTCTGGAAAAATTGCAAAGCCATTTCTAAGGCTCTGGGGATCTACCGAATCACAGTCAGGGCCCTAAATGAAGAAAGTTTGGAATGGTAGTGAATCTTTGACAGGACAGCCACTCCTGGGAAATCTCTCCAAGAGCAATGTGTCAAATTGTCCAGGAAGTCACAAAGAACCCCAGAACAACTGCAGGGATCTGTCTCGGCTAAGGTCGGTGTTCATGACTCCACCATCAGAAACACACTGGGCAAAAATGGGATTCACGAGGAGGCAAGGAGAAAACCACTGCTCACCATGAGTGCATGTCTCAACTTGCCAAAATGCATCTTTCTCCTCAAGTGTTCTGAAACAATGTTCTATGGAGAGATGAGTCAAAAGTTGAACTTTATGGCCAACATGGGTCCTATTATGTCTGGTGAAAACCACACACCATTCCACAGTATGCACCTCATACCATAGGTCAAGCATGGTAGTGGTAGTGTCACAGTTTGGAGATGCTTTGCTGCATCAGGGCCTCGACAACTTTCCATCATTGAAGGAACCAGGAATTCTGCAGTATATCAAGATAATTCTACAGGATAATGTCAGTCCATTCATGAGCTGGATCTGAAGCGTAGCTGAGTCATGCAGCAAGACAGTGGTCCTAAACACTCAAGCAAGTCTACAACAGAATGATTGAAGAACAAGAAATTTAGAATTTTGGAATGGCCTACTCAAAGTCCAAACCTAAACCCCATTGAGATGTTTTGGCAGGACCTGAAATGTTCTTGTTTGAAAACCCACAAATCTCACTGAGTTAAAGCAGTTCTGCAGGGAAGAATGAGCCAAAATCCCTCCACAGCACTGTAAGAGACTGCTCAATACTGCAGGAAACATCTGGTTGCAGTTACTGCTGCTAAAGGTGGCATAACCAGTTATTGATTTCAGGGGGGGGGGGGGCAATTACTTTTCTTAAATATGGCATTGTGTGTTGCATAACTTTCTTTATTAAATGAAATAAGTTTCAAAACTTTGTCTTATCTGTTCACTTAGGGTCCCTTCTATCTTACATTAGGTTTTGGTTGAAATATGGAATGCTATAACATTCATGCTTATTGTATTACAGCTGCCGTATTGTAGTTACTGTATGCCATGGACACTCTTTACCAGACTTGAGCTCCATTGAGCACTTGTGGAATAAACTGGAAATATGCTTGATATCTAGAGTTTAGATATCAATGAATAAAAACATGCTTGTCTGTGTTCTTTAAGGGAAATTGGAGAGAGTCCTGTAGACAGCTTGTGCAACCTGATGCAAAACATGTAAAGAAGTAAATCTTGTATTGCTACCTGTACTGGCTACACTTATTACTGTTGATCAAAAGGGGGTATTTAGATCTCCGGTTGATCAATCTTGTTGATAACAAATGTTAATCAGTATAATGAATTTGCTTGTGTTATGCCTGTGAATCTTTTGGAGTTATAAGTAATAAGCTTCTGTTGGTCAGAATAAAACTAAATGTTATTGAACCTAATGGTGGTTACATTACACAATAAATTACAATAGTTTTCAAACTTGTAGTTTGCAATATATTGGAAAACATGGATGTTTTGTTAGTTTTTAGTGCTTTTTATAATTTGTTTGGGGTATCTTAATTTCAAGGAATTAAGATGGAAGATGTTACTCAAAAGTAGTGTATTGTAGTTGCAGGTTCAGATTCCAGGTGGAGATAACACTGCTCTATGCTCTATACTCCTCATTTCTGTACCAAACATGCTTAATTTGTTTTCCACAAATGTGTATGGAAAACAAATGAATAATTGCAAGCTCTTCAATGAGTAATGATGATGATTTGTTTGGTAGTTTGTTTTCTAAAGGTATTATATGAAGTACTTGTCCTTTGTATTATAATATCAATGAGTAATATTTGCAAATTTACTAGTATAAGTGTTTATTCTCATTTGGTTAAATGGACCCATTTGAAGGCTACACTTCAAGAATAGTCTAAAACTTATTTTAATACATTTTATTTCCTTTCCTAGACCCTTGCACGTTGCTGCCCGCAATGGTCTTACTGTAGTGGTGCAAGAACTGTTAGGAAAGGGGGCCAGTGTACTTGCTGTAGATGAAAATGGTGAGTATTTGTGAGGTTTTATAATGTTTAGGTGTTTGTTTATTAAACAATAACTGTGTAAATGTAAAATTAATCACTTTCACTTATTGGTAACAGATTGAAGAATCTTGACTTTCAATTGCATGAAATTACATTGAATGTTTCTTACCAGCAGAGTGCAGTGTAGCTAAACAAAGAAGTCCATTCTTTTTTATTTTAAATAACAACAGTCATGTATTTACAGTAAAGTTTTTGTTTTGTTGTTCTTTGCAGGTTATACACCTGCCTTGGCGTGTGCCCCAAACAAAGATGTCGCAGACTGCCTAGCTCTAATTTTGGCCACCATGATGCCTGTGTCTCCAAGCACTACTATGCCCAGCCTGAGTTTTAATGCCATTAATCACTACACCAACCCTTCGAAGACTGTGACTTTTGACACATTGCCCATCTTGAGAAGTGAACACACCTCTTACTGCAGCTTCAACAACATTGGCAGGGAGGATGGATACTCTTTTAATGAAGAGGATGAACTCAATGACTCTGATTCCGAAACCTATTGATCAGGATATAGAGAGGTTCTAATACACATCCCTGTCTTAATGACCAACAGCCCACTGAAGAGAAAACTTCATCTGTCTGACTTGAAAAGCTGAAAGCAGATTTGACAAGCTGCTGATGCTTATGGAAAACTTTTCTCATTGGGGCCTTAAGAGTCTGACATGGAAGGATGCTGAGCTTCAAGACATATGTGAAGTCTGTCAGAGAAAACAAGAAAAGCGAATTATTTTTCTTTACCTATTTAATTTGCTGTGCCAGAAGTCATTTCAACAGTGTACGCTAGAATAAAGTGTGTTATTTTCAAATGAAAACATTTTAAAGTAAAATTGGAGACTATATGAATAAAACTATCAATTTCTCTAAGGCAATAATGCAGTCTGAGACGCTAGCACTTGAAGAATGAGTTGCCAAAGGGACCAAAAGTTTCAAAAATAATTTATGGAAAGGAAGAACAAGAGTCAATTCAAATTAATTAAGACTTGTAAGCCAGGATTAATTTATTATAAAGGGGGAAAAGAGGAAGTACTTATACAGTGGCATAGAGAGTTTTGAAAGTTCATGCCTCCGATATTTACAACATATAAAATATATGTGGGAAAACAGGAACTTATTTTTGGGGAAAAAAATTATAAAAATGGCCTTGTCATGCAATTTCTAATAAAAGTTTGAGACCAGCTGAAGTGGTACAGTCAGGGTTATACATTTTACACTACAAATAAACAGAAAAACATTTTTGAAATACACTTTGAACATTGATTTACTGTATTTTTATGATTAGGACTTAAGATTTTGAAAAATGTATGAGGAACACCCGTTCAAGGTGAGTTGATAGCAACAGCAAAATAAAACTTACCTTTCCAGTATTGCAGCCCTAGTCACACCATTCTTTCAATAATAAATGTTTATTTTTAATTTGTGTGAATATCTGTACATTTCTTTTTGTTTTTTCACATGCCTTCATGGTTATTACAGCTAGAGTTATTAGGTTTGTGAAAGACATTTTCTCAATATGGCTGTCTCAATGTTTTTAAAAGACCCCAACACAATTTTAAATTTGACTCCCAGTTTTATGTTAAACGATAATACTGTATTAAACCCAGAAGCTGCAAGCATTATTTGCTTTGTATTGAAGAATACAGTATATACCAATGACAGGATTGCATTGGACTTTCTTTAACCAATTTTTTTCTCTTAACATCAATGCCATTTTTACAGAATTTGCTTGCTTTGGTTTTTACATACAAGACCTTCTTAATCTTGTTTGTTGCTGTTAAAGAATATTTTTTTGATAAGAATTTTAATCTAAATGCATATAAACTGGAATTCTGTAAAGTATATCAGCTGGTTTTCTGAAAAGAAAGTGTGGAACAGAACAATTTGATTTATTACAATTATTTTTTGTTTTTTAAATTACATTCTAGCATGTAAATAGAAAGTAGTGACTGCTTGAATATTATACCTACCTGCACTCTTTAAATACATCTCTGAGATTCCTGTATATTTTATGGTTAATAAAATCCAAATGTGGGTTATATGTAATTTAACAGTTTATTTGTTTCATCGTAATTTTAGGTTAATGTTTCACATTAGCTCTCTAATGTCAGAGCCTAATTAATGTTTGGTAAAGGGGATGTTTATTAAATCTTAGTTTGATTTCAGGTTACTATAAACCTAAGCAAATCTACTTGATGTACAGGTATTATTTGTAATAGGAAGATTGATGGTTGACAACATTTTCTGGAAATCCTTCATATACAAAAGTTACCAACAGTAAACATATCAGTTTTCAGAAATGGATTCATATATTCTGTCCTGAAACGTATATCTTCTTTAAGATGTTCAGAAATGAATTACATTTCTCAAAGCTTTTTTTTTACTTTATACTTTTGTTGAATATGTTTTGTGGAGTATGAAAACATTGAAATATATATCATTGCTATTGTCAATTTTAAAAAAATTATACAAGAGAAGTGAAAAATGAATGGAGACCACAAAAGAGTTTGAGACAAGCATGATTGTTCAGTAAACAGCATTTAGAAATGGAGAATGCATTGAGAATATGTAGTTTGAATGATTTATTCCCACTGCAACTGGCTTTTTATCCAGATTCATGTCTCCACTATAAAGGCACTCATATGTGATTCCCAATGACATGAGTGACTTTCCACCTGTCAAATGTCTGGGTGCTCTTTGTACACTGTAAATTAATTCTAGAAAGTCGTCCAAAGCAAAGCTAGATCCTAAAGGTATTGTGTTGATTAAGGTGAAACATAATGTACTTAGGCTTGTAGTTTGTCCTTTTTAATTTTAATCTTCCCACAATCTAGCCTGTATTTCACATTTTCAGATTACATGCATTATTTTATTCTGAAAAATTCACAGCTGTCAACAAATGTTGAGTGTGATTGGCTGGAGAACAAATGCAATAGATAAATAATTTTCCCCTTATATGCAGATAGATGTCCACAAATTCCAAATTCTAAGCACGTGGACATTGACCAAATCCAATTTGTGAGCTCATTTACTTCCAAGAAGAATAAAGCATTGTACATCAACAAACATTTTATATGGATCTGTAGTTTTTGATGACTGGAAAAGCACTAATGCATCTATTCTTAGCAATCACTGTATCCTTTTCATTTATCTTTTGAGTGTGTAATACCCTCTAAATTTGTATTAGTCAAGGCTGTCTAGGTAAATGACTTGAAGTATTCATTCTTAAAGCAATAGAAAAGGCGTAATTGAAAGCAGTGAAAACCTCCGATCAGTAAAGACTGTTCAAACTTTTAGGATTCAAAGGTAAACCAAACTAGACCTTACAACAACTAAATTAATTAATAAATAGGTCAGGTTCGTATTAAAAGTTCCTTTATACTGATATTTTCTGCCAATTCATTTGTACTGTCATCCATTTTGGAATCTGCAATTGTTCATGAGTGCTGCTACTCTTGCACCAACCCGGATGGGATAAGAACCATTCATGGTTTTGTGTTACTGGTCACGTTTGAGCCATGTACCCCACTTCACATTGAAGGTCCTAAAGTGTCTGCAGTGGTGCACTGGGTGCCAATCAAGCTACGGCAAGCCAAAGACACCCAGGCCAACGGAAGCATGACTACTTCTGGAGGTAAGTCAGCCACTTTTCTGTGGCTGCTTGGGAAATCCACCCATCCATTCACCCATCCACCCATCCATTTTCCAACAGCTTTATTCAATGCAGGGTCGTGGGGGAGTAAGAGCCTCTACTGGCAAGCCAAGGGCACAACGCAAGACACATTGTGCACAGGACCATATGTTGTAAGAAGCCCGAGTTGCTCTTTTGTTTGAGATAAAAAAAGCAGTTCTAGACATTACTCAACTAAGGTCAGTTTTATTATGCATTTTGGTGGACTCTAGTTGAAATGCTATCAACAGCTTCGTTAAACAGATAACTGATGTGCACAATGTGGAAAGACCAAAAAGGTCTTTGAGATGGTCAAAGAGACAAAAACATCATGGTGTGATAAAAGGAAATTAAACTAAATTTTGATCAAAATAGCATATTTACATTGCTGTACACACACACATATATATATACACAATTCAGTACTTTATTCCAAATGACTATAAATTACCTGTTTGATCAAGAGATTTACTGTAGACAATTTAAATTTCTCTATGCTTTCAATATTGCCCAGTTAAGTCATAAAGAAAATACGATGGGGGAAAAAACAAGGAGCATTTTTCTTAAGGTTCTCAGAGGTTTTTTTTTCTTAAAGTTGCAAGAATAAATCCAGCCACAATCTCTCTTCCTTTGCCCATTAAATACAATTACAGAGATTGAATTCATAATAACATGGAATAGCCTTTCAGATGATGAAAGAGAAGATACAGCCTCTGTACAAAAGAGGCACATTTGGACATCTTCATAACAAAAAAGGATCAATAGAATGAAACTCCATAAGTATTTTGGACATAAATATTCATATCTAAATGATGATCAGAAGATGTCTATATGCATTTCAGGTACTCTAGTGGTTTAATGGATAAAAACAACCTAAAATGTTCTTAAGTGATACTACATGATGCTATCACATTCTGTTCTATACAGACCAAAGTGAAGATAAGTTTACAGATATTACTAGATTTTATTCTTTTTAGCAACCTTTTACTTGTTAAAACTATTTTATTTCATCTGTAAGAAAGGTAATTATAAAAAAAAACATATGGTGATTGATTTGTCTATTGAATAACAAATGTAACCTTATTTGGAGATCATTTTGTTAAACTGAGCATACTCATTTTAATATGTAAATATTTTTTTATTACTGTGTGATAAACAAATACTGTATATGCACTTTAAGATGAGCCTTCATCAGAACACAAATCCATTTCTTCAGGATGTTACACTCTCTGTTACACTGTTACATTTACATAAGAATAGCCTGCCTTCCAAGTAGTGCCCACAACCAATAATCCAGATATAGTATTTAAAATTGAATGATAACAAATTAATTCTTCAAAAAATACAAATATATATTTTCCTTGATCATTTTACAATTTTTCCTTCCGTTTATGTCTTACTTCTGTAAATCATGCCAGTTAAACTGCAGTCTTGTTAGAGAGTCCTCATTTGATTGTGCTCAGAATTAGCCTAGCTCTGACTTAGTAGGTTATTGGATAATGGGAACACACATAAATACATATGAACACAGCTGAAATGTATTTAGCAGAATGTCACCATTTAAAAAACACAACCGAAGTATTGCATTAATAGACACAAAATGAGGAGGTATTGCTCAAGTTCTGTAAGCCTCCATGGTTCTGATCATGATGATCTTTATAGTTCATTTTAGTCTGCCAAGATCACAATGGTCCCCAGGTTTCTTATTTCAGCAGAACTTCAGTCTTTTTCATATACCCTTCCATAAAGAACAGCTGTGACAAGGCCAGAAGACATGCTCTTCTTATTCATAAAGTAGCTTTCCTGCTCCCAGCCCACAAGGTCTGGAAAAGCCAGCTGCATTCCACTTGCCAGTATGCTGGGGAAAATGTATTGAGTGCTAAAGTTGCCCTCTATATAGAAGTCCATGAGGGTGCTGGCTTCAGCAATCTCTCCTCCACAGCTGTCAAATGTGGAGCCAGCACACCTGACCAGAGCACAAACCTCCAGATAGTAAGTGCCATGGACGACGTGAAGGCCATTAAAGACACCCAGAGCATACAGCTCATCAGGGATGTGGGATCGGTGGTACAATAAATGACAGCACAAAAGTCCATCGCAAACTGTGAGATCTCCGTCTGTTCCCATTACAGGAATAAATGTGTAATTATCATACATCATAACTGAGTGGAATGTTTCAGCACGAACTGAGCCTGTCATTAGTTTTGGCACAAAGGATTTGTCACACTCCCGGTTCTCATTTAGGAAGAAATTATTAATTGGATGGGTCTTTGAGGAAGGTGGTGAAGTTTTGTGACTTGTTTTATTGTAGACAGGGAGAGGAACCTTACTCACTAACAGCTTACCTTCACTTGTGTCCAGGTCATAATGGTAGACTGAATGTGAGGGAGTGTATATACCACTTCCAGTCATTCCAAGTAGAGAATTATGAATGTTAACTCCTAGAAAGTTAAGTTCAAAAGCTGTGGCAAATGCCTGCTGGATCTGAATTGCAGACAAAAGTGGAAGCTGGTTCATCCAGGCTGCTGGATAAACAACTTGTTTTACCTTGTATTTTTCTAAAAGAGTAATGCCAGGGTCATAAAATAGGATGTCAAAACATGTGAAAATACCAAACCTCCCAGCAAATGTAGTATCAAATATTACATGCTCACATTCTGGTGGAGAATCAAATGCTGACTCGAAATACAGGTTCTGCTTATGATACTTGGCAATTAGTGTTCCGTTATCATTGAAGATGACATCAGTGTTGAACTGGTATCTGCCATCTGGTGGACAGTGAGGATCGCTGCTTCCACAGTCTTGGCTATCAGGCATATTTGCAACCAAATACAATGCATTGTTTTTTGCCATACAGCTTAGACGGTGTAAAACCTACAAGCAATAAAATTAAAAGAGAACATAGATTAATTCTTACATTTAAAAATTAATTATTGTATGCTTTGTCACATATAATGAATAAAACACAATGTTATAAGATCACTTTATTGGCCATTTTCTTATTAGGAATTAGGAATTTGTCTTTTTGCATACCCCAACTTGCTCTCCATGAGACACACAGACAGGGAGAGAAGCCTGAGGGTCAGAGTGCAGGGTCAGCCACTTATACGGCGCCCCTGGAGCAGTTGGGATTAAGGGCCTTGATCAGGGGACCAACGGAGTAGGACTCCTCTGTTAGCCATGGGATACAAACCGACAACCTTCAAGCCACAGGCACAGATCCTTAACCACAGAGCTTATACATAAGACATTTTTCACCACAAACATTTTTTAAAAAAAGAACAAATCCTCAAATTCTAAAATTAAAACAAAATGGGACATCCAAGTTATTCAACTGGTGGCTCTCACTGATGTCCCACACCACTGTGTAGTATTATTATGGGGAACAATATGTAAGTTGATTTTGGTCATAAATATTTTATGAAAATAATGATAAATATGTTGTACTCCTATTGTAAAACCCCTTGAGTCTTTGGAAAAATATTTAACTCATTCTGCCTACAGATTTATCACACATCTTGCTCCTCATAATTAAAACGGCTACAAACGACGACTGTTATCTGCAGGAGTTCATGTCATTTGCCCTTAGTACTTACAAGAGGAAGCCTTGATTCAAAAGTAAAACAAATATACTGATATGAATTTCCAACCAGAGACACTGTGAACAGTGAAAAAAATACTTCTACTGTACCTCAGTGTGAGGAAACCTTCCTGGCTGTAAACAGGGGCTCCAGCTTACAACCTGTGGATCTGGAATAGACTCCAGATATCCTACAATTGACTGTCTGGTGAAGTTGAAACCATGGATACCATCTTCTGGAAACACAATTATTTGTGCTCCCTAACAAAGGAGAAAGGAAAAAATTAGTTGTATTAGCCGGGAAATGGCCAGCAGCCATTTCACCCTGCTGCTCTCAATTGGCTACCCACAGAAGGTAAGCAGCGTTGACCCTGGTCAGTACCTGGAAAGCTGTGGTTGCTGCTAGAAGTGGTGTTAGTGGGACCAGCAGGGTCACACTGTAGTCTGTGTGGGTGCTAATACCCCGGTATAGTGACTATACTGTAGTGGGCGCCATGTTTCGGATGAGACATTAAACCGAGGTTCTGACTCTTGGTAGTCATTAAAGAATCCTGGGCATTTTTCGATAGGAGTAGGGAATTATCCCGGTGTCCGGGTCAAATTTCCCCCCTCCGCCTTTACTGTGGCCTCCAAATTGTCCGTATGTATGATTGGCTTGCACTTGCCCTGTGATGGACTGGTGCCCCGTCCAGGGTTTACCCTGCCTTGCGCTCACTGCTTGCTGTGTAGGCCCTGGCTTCCCAAGACACCGTATGGTATAAACTGGTTTGTCAAATGAAATGGGAAATGCTTGCATCCATATCACTCTGTGGCATAGTGCCTATGCTCACTTTACCATGCTAACAGTTTTATTATACACAACTGTTTCTTGATGTTTAATGCATTTTTGGATATTTTACAATATTTTACAGTTATTCTGCTCTTCATTTGTGTATTCAGTGTTTCATTGCTGAATTAGGTTTGATTAAAAAGTGATGCTGTGATCCTTTTATATTCCACAATAATGTCAAAAACAAAAATGGTAAAATGTAAATAAACAATAACTGTTTTTTAACCGACACCTGAAGAAGGTTTCACAGCAGAAACGTGTTTTCTCTCTTCTCTTTTCAGCATGGAATAAACCTATTACTTGTTCCTAATCAAAAATATTGTAACCTTGTACACAAATTCTAATTTTGAAATAAAAATGTCTAATCCAAAATAACCTATAGCAAGTAGAAGCAAGTAGAGTGTAGTGTTGTCATGTTACAGGTGGCCAATCCCAAATTCTTACCTTTTTTGCTGCTGTAGCCACCTTCTCTTCATAAACATCTAAGTTCTTTTTCATGTGTTCCAGCGCAGCCTGACGACTGCAGGGAACACTAGGGTTTGGGTTTAGTATAACGTTGTGCTCATAAACAGCGGCAGTATAATATGTCCCATATGTCTGAGAAGAGACAATGTGGCTCTGCCAGAGAACAACAACCTTTACTAAGATAGTTAGATCCATGTCTTTTCCATGGGTACCTAGACAGAGGAATAGAGCAACAGATGAAGGAAACAGGAATCAAAGGAAACATATTAATCTAATAAGCAACCAGAGTTTAACATTAATGAAACACTTTCAGGAGATACACAGTCCAATACCCTGGAGAAGTATGCAGGGTTGCAATACAAACTGTTTCTGAAAAGAATGTTAAATAAACTCTTGCGCAGCAGACATCTCAACCCAGAAATGTTCCAATGTGATCTGCATACAGAGTTAACAAGTAAGTTGTATTTGTCAGCAAAGCCATCTTAAAATCAAGAGTAATATTTATATCGTATTAAAAGAGACTCCGCTGCCAGCTGTGGGATTTAAACCAGCAACCTTCCAGCCACAGGCACAGATCCTTAGCCACAGCACCACCACCCTGTCCCCATTTGTATGTAGATTAGCCTATAGTAATTCAAGAACTTTATACTGTAGATTACTTCTCCTAACTCCCATGTTGGGGTGGTGCAGTGGCTCTGTGGCTAAGGTTCCGTGCCTGTGGCTGGAAGGTTGCAGGTTTGTATTCCGTGGCTGGCAGAGGAATACTACTCTGTTGAGCTACTAAGCAAGGCCCTTAACCCCAACTGCTCCAGGGGAGCTGTATAGATGGCTGACCCAGCACTCTGACCCCAAGCTTCTCTCCCTGTCTGTGTGTCTCATGGAGAGCAAGCTGGGGTATGTGAAAAAAAATTCCTAATACAAGAAATTGTACAGTATATGGCCAATATAGTGATCTAATCTTATCTTAAGTTACTCCTTAGCATCATGTCTAACAGACATATGTCTGCTTTAGAAAGCAACACCACAGGGACCCCTCAATACTTTCAAAGCCCTTGTGTAAAACAATAAACTAGTTTCTGTCACAGGAGCCTCAAACTCTCCTTGTTGAAATCTAAAATAAAGATTTTTATTTAACATGAAACATTTTATTGAAATCACTACAACATTTGTTACCTATAGGTTTTGTAGTAACAGACAAATAAGTTCTAGAACCTGAGATGAAGTGTGAGTAACTGAGTTTATTGCATGCAAGGAACAATAAGACCAAAGTATTGCTCGCAATATAGGTACAAAATTTCCAGTTTATATAGCAAATTTCACCCGCTTCTGACGCAAATTGTTACCATAGTAATGGGGGGTCCCCTATGTTTGGACATTCCCAAGACCTTGAACACTTTTGATGGTCGGTTTTATCTTTCCTTAGTTGGGGGGGGTCTTTATCTTGCACTTGGAATTTCATATCAATTAACTCCCATCCCACCATAACCTCAAAGGTGCCTAAACATGGAATTTCTTGTGTTACAAGAAGTCTTTGTGCAGAAAGAAATCAGTTAACCCCTTTTTCACATCTTATATCTTTCTTCAGTTTCATTGTGAACTGCTTGGACTTCTCTACACATAAGACATTTTCTGTTTGGACTCACTTCTTATTTGCGCACTATAATTCTAAACATTTATGAAGTATGTATCAATGTTTGGAATTGTGTCCTGAATGTACAGCTTGAAGGCTGCACATTTTTTATTTTACATTTACTATAAATTATGTTTTAAAATTCATTTCTTGGTTAATTGTTCTTGGTTTGTTGTAATTTTTGCTTATTTTGTATTGCTTTACTTCTCTGAATATACAAAGACTAAGTGCTTTGTAATTAAACTCTGTGAAAAAGCAATTCAATAAAATACAGATTATTTATACACAAGTGAAAGTTTTATACTGCATAGCTGTATGAACCTTCCCAGGAGGTTAATAGAAAACTCTTTCCATAGTGTGTATTAATTTTGTTAAGGGCATTTTAGTTTCTCGGACATCAACCTTTATATATTACAGTCAAAGAGTTAATGTTTTATTTCGATATCTGTTAGAGTGAACAGCACCTATTAGACACATTTCAAAAGTGTCTTTTTATACAAAAAAAAACATTCTACATGAAACAACATGTCGAGAACATCACAATTCTTTATTTGTGCCATTATTTACCATACCTGCTTTAGATTATTTTTGACAGTATATATACATGTGGGTTGCACATACAGTACATGTAACAGAAAAAAGGAGTAAAATCACTTTAATAGTTGTTTCTCCAATAGCAGAACTGAAGGTCAGTTAATTTACTTTGTTCATCTCATTGCAATTCAAAAATGCTAGGGGAGTGGGATGGCTATTATAATTCAAGGTATAAATTCAGGAGTCGAAGGGAATGGGGAAAAAAAAAAACAGAAGAAGAGCACCTGATGTTGATAACCCTCTAATTTTTATCCACAGAAGAAACAAGAGTGTGAGCCAAGTAAAGAACCCACTAACACACTGATTTTAAATCCATTTCTGAGCTACTGCAGATAGCATGTTCCTGTCTTACTATCATAAGGGTTTCTATATTTACAATATTATTAGAAGTTCCATATTATTTCAAATAAAAATTCCTTATGTTAAGTATAAAACTTCATCATGGATGTATCAAATGCATTTTTCCTTGCTTTATTATTTTTTTTATTTTGGAACAGGATGAGACATTCTCTGCTTGCTGTAGCAGCTGTGGTAGCTCTGCTTGTTGCTTGTGTCACACCTGATCACGGTGTACGTGAAGGAGAATGGAAGTCCCTTGGAAATCCACAGAACAGGAATCTGGTAAGCAATGTATTCATCTTTTTTATTTTATCTTCCTTGCTTTGACTTTCATTGTTCTCTAATAATTACATGTAAACAAAATGCTACAATTATTGAAAGGATTTCAGAAGCCTAGTACTAATTTGTCATCAGTTATAATTCACCTACTTCTTTATCTGTGTTGATTTTTTGTGGCTTTAAATATGATGTGTATACATATTACTTTGATTTATATAAGTTAAACAGATATAAAGTTTAATGGTCAATTGTAAAAATAAACTATTTTGTCTAATTAAATAATACCTTATCAAGACTTCAGCTATTGTATCATTTGTATGCATCATTTTATGTTTTGTTACTGAACTGTTACTGAAATAGTTCAGTAACAGATAATAATAGATGGTACAATATGTAGATACTATGTATTGTCCAGAAATTGATCTTTACTTAGATAAGGAAGAGCTAAACAAAATCTATGCATAACAAATGAAAATCCAATACCTCACATAGATAATTTCAATAAATGTCAACAAATTTATTAATACTTTTTCTATTCATTTTTGCAGTTTTTCAGAATTCTTCAGTCTTATTTCAATGGCAGAGGTATGAACCTCGGATCCTTGGGGAGAAAAAGCAAACTGCTGGAAAACCTGGACAGCAGAGCCAGTCCTAATTTCGACAAATACCAATACAGTCTGGAGAACAACGACATAATTAATATTTAAGATATTAATAGTTTCTATACATTGAAATGGTCATGTTCCGGTCAACTCTGTGAAAATAGATGTTCGTATACGTGCACATTTTACATATCTGTAAATATTACATGTATATCTGTAAATATAATAAATTAAGGTACATTGATCAGCTAGGTGGTATGTGTCAAGCGCACACAGGTTATGAAATCAGCGCACATAGGAAACTGAACTGCGCACAAAAAATTAAATTCCAAAAATATGATAATAATAAAACAAACACAGTCGTTAACTGAAAAGTGCAAAATTGACTACATGAGACCCGCTGCGACTTGGCTGTGTGCATTATTATTGCTACTCGATATCATCGATATCTATGTTCTTGTTGTCTCGTACCAAACTGTCTAGACTGCTCACCGTGTCTTTCATTTCTTAAATGACTTTCTAAAATATTTTTGTTTTCACTACTTGTGAACTACTTGTGAAAAGTTTCTATATATCTGATGGGCTTTGAGACCCTTCGCAAGAAATATATTCATAGTGTGTATTGATTCGAAAGGAGGGAAAACATATTCAACGAGTAAATTGAGAACTAAGCCAATTATCTGAATGTAGCGCTGACCAATTAAATTCCATACATATATATGGTGTTTTCCAGGACAGTATAAACATTTTTTTTTTACGATATTTTGACTTACTGTGAACTGAACCTCAATCTTCTCAGAGATGCATTTCAACATTGGGGCACACGTACTGTACACGAAATGCATGAAATTCACCCACTGGTCTCCTCCCCAAACACCCGCACAGCAATCTACTGGCTCATCTATGTGCCTGTCACGACCAGAGTGACTGCTTATTGGCTGAAAAAGGTTGAGCTGTCCAGGGTTATTGTTATTAACTTTGAACCTTGAACCTAACCACAGTGTGACAGGGACGAAGGTATCGAGAGCAATGGAGGAAATAACTGGAGCTCAAATAATCGCTGAAGCACTGAAAGCGCAAGTATGATCTCTTCTCCTTATTTATAGAGAACACATTTTGAAGCTTTCATTTTCCTGTCACTCAGACTTCTGTAAACTGAAAAACACAAAATAGAAATACATTTATAAAATCAAACATATTCTGGGGTGTCCAACTACAAGGACCTTGCAGATATACTGTACTGTTCTGTAACAGCTGTCACACATAGCAAAGAATGATAACATTCTGAAAAAAGAGGCTGATTTTCTAGGTATACTAACTGACCAAAACAGAAATTCGAATAATACATAAAGGTAACTTAAAATATTCTGTCAACAGAAATATTTTATTGTTAAAGCAATGATTTTGCATCAGTGGTTTGTATACAGCCTTATTCTGAGGTTACATAAAATGTATATTGTACAGTATACATTTAGGTAACAGGTATGAACCCGAAAAAGGTATGAACTAGCAACTACAGTATGTATACTTTACATTCAGGGGTTCAGGAGACTGACATTCGAACCATTCCACACGGAGTTTATGTGAAATGAAGAGCAGACGAAGTAAATAAATGAAGATAGAGCGTTGAGAGAAAAAAAGGAACAGAAGACGTGGATGCCGAAGTCCCCTTGGCGCTTAATAATTTACGGCATCATCATAAAGTTTACAACCGCAGCAGTACTTGACCTAAGGAATACGATCTTAACATTGGAGCTCTCACATTACCAAGTGTCATTCCAGCAGAAATATCTGGGATGCTGATATAAATTACAGTATGGAATAGTCTTTGAAGTCAATTTCCAGTACTTTATATATTTGAATCCCAGATATATTAAAATGTACTATTACCTAATTTAGAATGGTTACCATGTAACAGAAAATGTACTATTTGGTTGCTTTGGAAGTTCAAAGTACTGTATGTTTTTACCGACCGTAAGAGATGAATTCCAAATGTTACAAACTCGGACGCCTGGGACAGACCGTATAAACAGAAGTATTGCTACAATTACTCAATATATTGTAACGCTTCAGGGTTCACATGGGCACCCTCACCACTGCCGCATCAAGTTGGCCCCCCCAATGTCAGGGACTTGAACCTGGGCCTCTGGCATCACTCAACAGGGACCCAGCCTCTTGAGCCAAAGGGAGATCTGCTATCCACAGGGAAGGGCGGTGACGTCACCGCTCTGGAGGCTGTATGCGTTACACTCTCCCCCGCTTAATTCGCCGTCCTCGGCAAAGGGCAGTCCTCATCCCACTGCTGACACCAATGTAACAGATTTGGGTTGGTCAGGACGAACACAGAGACCCAGACGCAGTTAAAAACTGCGCTTTATTTGTTCTCCCTCACCACCTGCCAGCCCACACCAGAGAGAGACAAACCCGCCAAGAGCGCGCGCAAACCCAAGAGAGAGAGACAGTGTAACATCCAGGGAACCAGGGAACTATTTACATGGAAAACGGGCGATCTCCCCAGACTGTATGCCCGTTTCACTGTGGGACAGCTGCACTGGTCAGCGGCCCTCCTAAACCCCGCCCTGACCACTTCCACTCCTGTCCTGCCCCTCACCGCGTACCCCAGCCAGGCGCTCTTCAGCCGCTGCCCGGGGGAATGCGCTACAATATGGATGCACTAATATGAGCTCTCTTTATCACGTGTACTTAAACTTTTGATGTATGAAACATCCAATTTGTTATGTTTAATTTCATTTAAGGGCTTAAAACAGATTCATACCATACAGTAGATAGAACTGATTAAGAAACAAAGGACCTTTAATTTATGCAGTACATTATATTAGCTTGATTAGCTAATATGAATGATATTTAGCTGTACTGAAATAAACTAACTTTTTTTTACACTGCCCACATGTGAAAGTAATCTTTTTTCTCCCCGTTATTCAGAACTTGGAGTACATGTTTGGAATAGTTGGTGTTCCTGTAATAGAGGTGGCAATGGCTGCTCAGGCTGCAGGCATAAAGTATGTAGGCATGAGAAATGAACAGGCGGTAAGCATCCGTTTTTAAACCTTATGGATTTAGACTGCATAGTATTCTTTTTATATTTATTTGAACTTTCCACTTCTTGAAAAGCAATGTAGAATTATCCTTCAGTGCATGAATTTGAAGTGTAAAAGAAACAATGATGTCATTCATTTATCTGTTACACTGCAGAATTCTTCACTCTTGTGAAGTTTGAATCTTAAATACTTGTCTAATTTAATTTCTTTATTTAGGCTTGCTATGCTGCATCAGCTGTGGGATATTTAACAGGAAGGTAGGAGTGAGTTCAGTTGTTCTGAAATGAAAAGCAGGATAGTGCTCCATTTTTCATGTACACACTTGTGGATATTGTCTTTTTCAAATAAAGTATCTTGTTCACTTTTAAATGAAAATAAAAAAATGACATTTGAGGGAGGGGTGTTAATTAGTTTAATAACAGGCGATATTACAGAAATACATAAATGTTCTTAATAGTTCATAATATTATAGATATATTTTTTTTTCTTTTTTGTAGGCCAGGAGTTTGTCTAGTTGTGTCTGGTCCGGGACTCATCCATGCCTTAGGAGGAATGGCAAATGCTAACATGAACTGCTGGTAAAGTCATGCTTTGTTACCAAGGCAGTAGATTAATGTGCATTTTACTAAATGCCTTTTATTTATTTTTATTAAATAATATTTTATTTTATTTTATGTCTCAGGGTAGATACAGGAAGCTTCTGGTAAACAGAAAGCTTCCATCAAGTGACCTATTGTCAAATAAAAGTGACCTATTGTGAATTTCTGAAGTTTAGATTTCATCTAGGACTAAGTTCAGTGTACCACCCTGCCTTTCCAGTCTTTGGCATCTAGCAAAATAACATGAAATTAGGTTAGTTGTGATGCAGGTTTTTGCTTATCAAACAAATCCTTTAGGGAATGTCACAAATCTTTTAACAAATTGTGTGGAATTCTTTATGAAAGAAAATTCTTGCAACTATAGCACAGATTAAAAATTAGATTACATTGTTTTAAAATACTTGTGCAGAACACATCTTTTAATACTTAACTTTCTATAGAAGTTTGCAAGGTATTGTATGTGATTAAATGTGCAAACATTAAAAAGATTAATGAGAACTGCATGGGAACAAGCAGAGGTTAATTCCACGCTGAAAGTTGAAAGAATAAAAAACAACATTTCAGTTGTGAGGGATATATTGAAAACATACTTACAATAGCAACAAACATCTCTTTCTCTAGGATTTACTGTAGAAGAGGAATTGTTGATCAATATAGAAAACGTTCAAATTAATGTGCAGTAAACTTCCCCTTTTAACTCTTCTCTGGAAACTGTACTAAAAACATGCATTTCTATAATTGATATTTATAATTTATTCTTGGTTTATAGTGAAAGCTATATTGAAAGAGCCATTACAAACTTGAAATATTACATTCATAAAATACAAAACAGTAACCTTTCCAGCTATCCTTGAGAATCGGCATTATATATTTAATAAATGATGTATAACAATTATGGTATTATTAGAATTTTAAATTGAGTGCATTCTAAGAGAAAATGAATCATTTGGATATGCTCAGATTAATAAATTATATTGTCCATGTTTTTTTTAGCTGGAGACAACTTAGCATAGTAATTGGTGGGTTGTGGGTTCAAATGCCCAATGCAGACATTGCTATTCCTTGAGTTAGACATATTACCCCAATTGCTCCAGTCCACCAAGTTGTAAGTATGGCATACAGCTCTTTCTGGGAGCAGGCTCTCTGATGGGGGTGTGATCATTTGCTCTCTGTGAACTTAATGCCATAGAACCCAGGATAAGCTCAGGACCAATGGGCTGTTGGGGCTCGAATATGTAACCACCTACAGTACCTAATAAGTGAATCCAAACCTGTACTTTTTAACAAAGAAGATAGTAACATTTAACAAGCAAACTCTATAATGTTTTTGCAACTCATCAAACAACAATGTATGTGATAGATTGAAAGCTGTCTGATGTATACATCATAAATCATCACAAATGAATATCTGCACTAGATACAATATTGACATATGAAAGAGAATCTATAATGGCTGACTATCCTTCTGGTTAAACATTGCTATTATCTCTGACCCCATCCCTTTGCCATAATTTTTCATGATATCAGCCATGACTCTCAGTCCGAGTTATCTGGCAGGGTGGAAGGTGATGTTTGTCTCAGTTGTTAAAAATAATCCAGTATTTCACAACTGGTAGATGAATTCAGCTCCTAAAATCTTACACTCCATTATTTAAATATTGGGGAAAAAAGTCTGATGAACAACAAAAACAAAATCTCAGTTTGAGAGAGTATGGGCTGCGGATATGGCATTTAAAAATGGTTTATTAACGAGGATAGCAGGTTTTTGAAACATTTACTTAGTATATATCATTTTAAAATATGAATGATTAAAAATGATTTAATGTGAATATGAAAATAAGTCACTTTATAGTAGTTTTCTGTATCCTGTTGTTTGATTAAGAATGTAGACAAACAGTGGTGGGCAAAGAAAAGAAATGCAGAAAAAGTGCTACTTTTCTGAAGAATTCCATGTAAGGACATTTTTTTTTTTTTGCAGGCCTGTTATTGTTGTTGGGGGCTCTTCAGACCAAAACCAGGACACAATGGGGGCATTTCAAGAGTTTCCACAGGTACCATAGTAACCAGAAAAGAGCAGCTACAGTCAGTTCTCCCTAAATAAGTGAATGCTCAAACAATTCAGTAATAGTATTAAAGGGCTGAGATGTTCAAATTATTCTGCCTAATGAAGAATTTCAGCACCTGTGTTGTCAGCTATACCTTCCATCAGGATGTAAATCTTCAGAGGACATTAGGAGTCACAGATGTATTAGAGTACTTGCTCACTATTGGGGCTTACTTTATACTGTATAACCACCATAATCCAAATTATATTTGAGAAACAAAAATTTTACGTTTAAGAGTTAAAAATGCAAACCTCTCTTATTGTTTTTTTTTGTCTTTTATCACTTCATACTGTAGGTAGAGGCATGTAGGCTGTACAGCAAGTTCTCTGCAAGACTCAGCAGCCTTGAAGCCATTCCATCAGTGATTGAGAAGGTATCCACTCTGTAATGTATAGAACACAGTCCTTGGAGTCCAGTATCCAGAAGTTTTTCTGTGTCTTCTTAAGTTATATATTAAGTTATATACCTGGTAGATGGGTTAAATTGATCCTGTTAAGTTTACCTGAACCTGTCTCTCCTTTCTCCAGTGCAGTCAGCTGTTGACAAAGTAGAGACAGAAAATGTTCTGGAATACAAAACTAGGAACATCTGATTTGGAAGAAGATCCAGTTTGCAGTATTTAGAAACATCTGATACTGATACCTTTCAAAGTTCAGAGATACACAAACTAAAATATTTGACATACTAAGCATTTTGAACTTATTATTTAGTTTGAATTACCCTTTGCTAAAACTCCTTGTTTAACTTTGTTTCTAGGCTGTTAGAAGCAGCATATATGGCCGCCCAGGGGCTTGTTATGTTGACATTCCAGGGGACATGGTTAATGGCAGAGTGGAAAGGGCAAAAGTCAAGTAAGTCATCAACTGTCTTTAAATACAGAGTAGTGTGATTTTTATTGTCTTTGCTGTGGTTCTCTGTCTGTATTTATGTCCATGCCAAAAATGCAATCATACCAGTGTCCTTCAAAAATGCAAAGGATTTCATTTCCATGTATTGTTGTATTGTTTGGCTTCCAGGGTGGTCTCCTGTTGCTTGCCTCCTCCGGTGGCTATGGCAGAGCCTCAGGCCATCGCTCAAGCAGTGTCTGTGCTGAAGAAAGCCATGAGGCCTCTCCTCATCATTGGAAAAGGTGCCTATTAACAATGATAGCATTTGCAAAAGGGCAGGCCAGCAGCATAAATATAAACATTTTGTCACAACAGTACTGTTTTTATAGTTGATTCAATTCTGTGAAAAACCTGGAGCCACTTGCCTTCTGGTTTAAAGATGCTAAGCTGTCAGAAGAAAAATTATATTAGCATGAGATTGGAAGAGAAAGGGCAGGTTGTCAGCTCAGGTTGTCTTTCTTTACTAATTAAAATCCTGTACTACTTTCTGTCCTGTGATTTTGTTTCTCTGTGACAGATTTTCTGTTGTTTCTGTTCTGTTTCTAGCTTATTTAAATGGGTTTATTTGTGATTGCAAACACTGTATGCAAGCAAAACTATTTGACCTCTGAAAAGCAACCAGCAGCAAGCAAAGTAACTTAAATCTTCCTAACCTAATTTTCTTTGCCAGCAGTACAGTACCCTGTAGTAGTTCAGGTGGGTAGCTGCGTCAGCATGTGTAGGCTGCAAAGAAACAAGTAATAGGTTTATTCCATGCTGAAAAAAAGAAGGAAGAAAACACAACATTTCGGCCGTGGAACCAAAAGGCTCACACCTGAAGAAGGCTCCACAGCCGAAACGTTGTGTTTTCTTTCTTCTTTTTTTCAGCATGGAATAAACCTATTACTTGTTCCAGAACAGTACCCTGTTTACTTAAAGTTTATTAAAGGATTTACAGTAAGGGCACAAAATATATCATATTAATTGTCATCATGGGAATGATATACAGTACCTAAGATATTTAATTTTAGCATTTGCCCTTCAAAGATGCATACTAGTGTTAATTTGTTTTACCACTTTGACTTGAAAAATCTAGGCTGAAAATCTGTTGGTTGGATAATCATATAATAAATCAGATAATAAGTTAAGTTATAAGTTATTTATCAGATTGCATATTCCCATTTTATTCCCATATTCCGAGTTTGTAAACGTGTTTGAAAATAAACCAGCCAATGTTGAACATTGAAGAAAAATGTGTTTTTACTTGAGACTGAAAATGATAATGGTGAAAGGTTTGGAATGAATCATCCCCACATGAATCATAACACAGTACTTCAAGGACTTTTAATTACCCAGTGGTAAATGAAATGTATTGTTGTTCAAAGTCTTTTCTACAAAACTTGAAGATATTTAAAGTAATTAATCTCCTCAGAGTTTGTTGAAGTGGATGGAAAGGGTAAAGTGAGTTGAGTTTGCAAGAATTCTGACAAAAGAATTTAAACATAAATATCTTTCAGGTGCAGCTTATGCCAGAGCTGAATCTAAGATCCTGGATCTGGTGAATCTTTGCGGATTTCCATTTTTGCCTACCCCAATGGGAAAAGGAGTGGTACCAGATAATCACCCAAACTGTGTGGCTGCTGCCCGATCTAGGTCAGATCCAGGCACGCTGATTCATAATGACTTCTTTTAATTCAGATTTAGCTGTTTGTACTCCAGGATTAGTCAAAGTCTAAATCTGGTAATTTTTTTGTTTGTCCTGAATTGTTATATGAATCACTAATTACTGAAATATAGAAATAGATCACTTTAGATCAGGGTCCATAAATTCAATTTGTAAGTTTTTATTACCTTTAATATAATAAAAGAGTGTTTTATTAACAAGCATTAATTATTCTTCTTAATTAACGTTTTACAATTGTATAGGTGATTTTTTTAATAACTTGTCCAATATTGATTTACATAGTGTAGTTTGCAGTCCTAAAAATTAAAGTGTTACCATGAAACAAATGACTGCTAACAATGTTTATTAACCATATTATGTGTAACATAATGGAAATGCTTTTGTAATGCAGATTATGTTTATTTTATACATGGGACATGTAGAAGTATTATTTCTTCAAAACAATGGTGTTTTCAAATATCTGTACTGATGAACACAGACAGATTCAGATACTGAGCTAGGAACTCAGCTGTGCTATGCAAGACAGATGCATGAAATTCCTGAAACTCCTTTCTACACAGGGCCTTGCAGCAGGCTGATGTGATTTTGCTTCTTGGTGCTAGACTGAACTGGATACTGCACTTTGGACTTCCTCCACGGTTTCAACCCAATGTGAAGTTCATTCAGGTTAAATATTTACCATATCCACCTTTCAGTTATTGGCTAACTATCATTGAATAATATCGCAATTACTGGAAAATAATTACACACCTTCATCATTGATTACTCAAATATTCATTTTTATTTTTATGTAAGTGTTTTATGTAGAGAGAAAAACATAGTTGATTAAAGTATACAGTATCTTATTTCTTTTGAGCACAAGCACTGTAAAATCTTTATCATTGTATACATATTTCTATACTGTATATCTCCATTTTTATTTACACTATTTGATTGTAGATTTTTTTAAATAGTGCCCT